GCAGGTTATCGAAATATAATTTAAAATGGCCACATTACATTGAATTTGATGCAATACATTAGCAAAAGTACAGGAAAAATAAATAATACTTTTTTTTAAATAATGCAATGAAATTATTTAGGGGGGCTAAAGACATTTTTAGGGAGGCTGAAGCCTCCCTAAAATAGGCCTAATGACGCCCATGAGCTCGGAGCAGCCGGCTGCTGCACATTTTCACATGTAATAAATCAGTGACATATTGTCAGCATTTTCTTCTTACCAAACCCCTCATCACAGTTACTTAAATAATAATTGAATAAAACGTTATTCTTGACTTCTTTATATAGTTTCAGTCATCATGGCCCTCCAAGGTAAACGGTAATTATAATGTGGCCCGCGACAAAAAATGAGTTTGACACCCCTGAAATAAAGGCTCTCTTCTTCAGGGTTTGTTCTTGGGAAAATACTGTACTTCTCGGGAGGTCACAGTGTTATCCACAGGGTAAGTGCTAAAGTTTCATCACAAAGAATTCTTTTCTAACCAACCACTGGGGAATTTCTTCGGGCGAACACTCACCATTCCCTGAGCTATTCATTAGGTTGGGATTGCTATTTCGAGGAGCATATATCATCCGAATGAATTGATATTATACACATTGTGTGGTGAGGTTATTTCTTTTTTACCTCAGGGTATATTTGCTATGAAGGATACTGTCTTTGAGGTTCTGATGTTTGAAAAGTGACCATAGAAATTGCTTGGGTACAGATGAGAAATTCCCTTCACGCACTTGTGATGTAATACAGTGCAATGTTGTCTTGAATAGTGCTTTTCATTCGTCCAACCATCCGTTCTTTGAAGCGCTTATCCTCCCGCAGGGCCGAAATGTGGGGTACACCCTGAACTGGTTGTGAGTCAATTGGAGTACAGTACACATATTGACAAACAACGAGGGGTGTTCATCTCTCCGATCAAATACAACTCTCAATACGTGGGGTGCGATATGATTCAAGGACAGTTTGATTTTGGATTCAGTTAGGATTCAACACACTCACATCTTTTGAATCAAAACAGATTTTCCAATCAAAAACGTTTTTTGTTCCATGCTTGCCCTACAAATTCACACCTCTGGACAATTTCAGAGTCTTCAATTAACCTATCCTGCATGTTTTCACAACGTGAGGCGATATCACAGTACCAGGAGAAAACCCACACAGGAATGGGGAAAATAAGCACAATACAGGAAGTCAAGATGCCACATGCTACATACTTACAGTTCGGTACGCGTGGATTTGCTTATTTGCAGACATTTTTTTCCAATTTCTTTTCAATATTATTCCATCCTTCCATTTTCAACTGCGCTTATCGTGAATAGGTCACAGGTGGGTGCTGGAGCCTATCCCACCCTTCCCCTTGCTGTTTGTGGATACCACTTGCTGCATGTTCTTCAGCGTTTTTGAAGATTTGGGGGATATTTGAAAAAAATAAAATTTTGTTGTTTTTTTCCATTCAGTTTCAATGGGCATCAATTATACGCTGCCCTCCGTAATTACTGGCACCACTGTTAAGATACAGTATGTTGTTCAGCTTCAAATCAATCTTTTTTTTTTACTACTACAAAGACCAGGATTCCTTGCGGATCGAGAAAGAGCATGCGCAGAACACAAATCGATGTCTTCGTTCGGAGGGACTGTAATCCAATTCCGTTTATATGACCAAATATTCGTGTTAGAGAAGGGGTAACGCAGCTGTTTTATTCTGTATTTTTAGAAACCCGATTAACAGAATACTGTATTTAGTTTTTTTTTTTTTGCGTGATTTTTCGTGGCCTTTCAAAATCAGGATTCTGGCAATATTCAGAGGTGAAACGGGTAAATAACTGCATGTAAATTTAGTCTTTGTCGCCAATATTTAAACTGTTCCTTGTGGGCTAATGTTACGAAACTTTATCCTGTCGTTCGGTTTATACATTAGCTAGATTAAGATCATGTGGGGAACCCGCGTAATTAAGTAGTCGTATAGTTGAAGTGTAGATTAACCAATTTGCAAAGAATTTCGCGCCAGACTGTAATGTTGGATGAGACTTTAATAAATTCCCAGAGACCATCTCAGTGTTTGTGGTTATCTGTTATCCGCGTCTATTTTTGGATATGATGTACAGTGGAATCTCCAATGTCAGTGTTACTTTGACACTAAATTTATAAGAGCGAGTGATGTTTCCATCTCTGCATGTATCTTACTTACATCAGTCCCACCTCTGTACCACAATTTTCCTTCACTACCGATCATTTTTGGATTTTGTCTCTCTCAAACAAATTTGTCCCATCGATGCAGGGAAGCCAGATGAAAATGTACTTCTGCTTTTAAACGCTAGGTGGAACTACAGGTTAATTTGCAAGCTCCCGCTCCACACTGGACCTGCGGAACTCGTAACGTCTCAAAATACTCCAAGCTGTGCGTTTTGACACTTCCTCAAATCAATTCTTGAGAAAAAAAAATGATATAGATCTTGTCCAACTCACTTGTATTAGTCATTTTATTAGTCACACAAACTTGAACGTGTTTTCTTTTAGAGGAACGCCCTGCCACACCCAGTTGGTCTGGTACCAAGTTGACTCATGAGCGCTTTTGTAACTGGATACCCCTGAGCGGTCGTGTTCTCGCCTGGGCTGTTCCCTGAAATATCCCCCGAGCGAAACACACGCACATCGGAACGGCCTCGAACCGCATACCTCATTTTGGTTGTAACTTTCTTTGTTGTCTGGACACCGAAAAACCGAGGAGCTAATACGTTTTTGTCAACATGAAGTTTTGTCTGCTACCCGCTTTACTCCTCTTGGCGACTGGGGCATTGACGCAGGACGGCAAGTTTCAACCCCCCGTTTTGTATTTTGAGAGCATAATTATCGTTTTGAAAGCCGAGTTAATCATAAATCAGTGATTCGCTGTGTTTGCAATGGTCTGGCGTCCTACGGTCACATTCGTCGCCAAGGAATTGTTATTTAACGCGCCTCCCAAAAACTTGTCTTGTTTTGCATGGAGCTTCTGACTCACCGCCAAACATCAACATGGCTGCTTGCATTAGATTGACCTTAAATTTAACATCGCACACCGAACTGCTTCATAAACGACTTGATATTTATCGTGCAATACGATGAGAGTCCCGCCAGCCTTGCTGAAATCTGGCCAAAGTGACATAAGGGGGTGGGGGATATTAACTCTTGAGGGAGGGTGTTTCCGACAGTCCAAACCACTGAAGCTGCCTTCATTTCTTACAGCGTACTTTTTAGCTTTAGTCACAATGTTATCTTTTTTTTTGTTTGTTTTACTAAATATCAATTTCAGAATAATTGAGTTGACTAATGTAGTAAATATTGTACCTAGCAGGCTAGATCAGGGATCACTAACCTTTTTGAAGATGAAAGCTTCGTCATGGGTATATTGATTGAAGCGAAGGGCTCCCACGTTCATGGACACTTTTGAAGTAATATCATGTTATTATGCATCCTTAATAATAGTCATTTATATGAAGACACGTCATATTACTGAGGTATTACAATAACAGATGAATAATCTATTCAACACCTTTTTTCCCCCTATAAATCTCTGCCAATGTTCACATTTAAAAATGGTCACTTATTCAACAGTCCCACAAAATCATAATTTGCCATTACTGGTGAGCTCTTTTTTTAGAACAGGCCTGCAGGCAACGACCATAATGTGGTCCTTGGAGGTTATCAGTTGGTGACCCCTGGGCGAGACATCTCGGGTGTGTGAGTTGTGTCCGGAAGGTCTTCTTTCCAAACTCTCAGCCCAGTTGTATGTGACATTGTCTTGAAAGAGTATATAAAGCTTACGAGCCTAAAGTATAACGGGTAAGGCAAATTACAAGTTTCTATGTATTGGGCGTATGTAGGAATAGTTTTTATAATGGTATTACTCTCAAGGTTTTATATTATGTGTTATGTTGTTCTTTACATCTTTGAAATGCGGAATTTTACAACACGGTTCCATCAAATGAGGCTCAACTGTTTTGGGCTCTTGTTGTCAGTTCCTGTTGTCAGGCTGGAAATGACACTGAATCACCAATGTTGCAAAACTGACAGAGATGGCAGTGAATGAATTGAAAAGCAAAAATGCAAAAGTACAGTAACCCTTCCTCTTGCTGCAGTTACTCCAGCCAGGTATGGTGGGTGGGTTGTCATGCTGTGGGCTGTGCCTTTTTGTTTAGTTAAGATTATGGCGGAGGGCGGTCAAAGTTCATTTTAGCACATATGTTTTAAGGACAATGTGGTTGTCATTCATTTGTTTTCATTTGCAGGTACAACAAGTAATTCGGAAGAAGAGAATACAACACAGCACTGAATTTAGTTTTAAAAAATTGTTGTCTCTTTTTTACAGGATTTGACCTGTTTGATGCTCTGGATGACGTAGGTGAGTTGTCCTGTCTAAAGCTCTTGTTTATGATTTAAAAGATGGTTTCTTCATCATTGGTCTTCTAATCAATAACATATTGAACTATGTGTGTAAATGGCACATGGGGTGAGCTTAGATGAAGCGCTGTGCTGTCTCTCGCTCTCTCTCTGCGTATACAATACTGGATACGTACAAAATGTCAGATTAGTGGCACATGGGGTGAGCTTAGATGAAGCGCTGTACTGTCTCTCGCTCTCTCTCGACATGTATACAATACTGGATACGTACAAAATGTCAGATTACATTTTATGACCAATTCATGTCCGCCCGGTGATGGAGTGGTTATTGCGTCGACCTCACAGTGCAGAGGTCGTGGGTTCGATCCCAGGTTCGGCCTTCCTGTGTGGAGTTTGCATGTTCTCCCCGGGCCTGCGTGGGTTTTCTCCGGGTACTCCGGTTTCCTCCCACATTCCAAAAACATGCATGGCAGGAAAATGGAACACTCTAAATTGTCCCGAGGTGTGAGAGTGTGAGCTTGGATGGTTGTTCTTCTCTTTTTTCCCTGCGATTGGCTGGCAACCGGTTCCGGGTGTCCCCCCCGCCTACTGCCTGAAGACAGCTGGGATAGGCTCCAGCATGCCCTGTAACCCTTGTGAAAGATAAAGCGGATCAGAAAATGGATGGATGGACCAATCCATGTCGACATTTAGTTTTCTTGCAAGTGCATATGTGAAATGACGGCTGGATACAGTAGACAGATTCAGAACTCTCTTTGTTTCTTTTCTTTCTAGAGCCAACTCCACCAAAACCCAAAGAGCAACCAAAACCCCCAGCGAATCCTGATGATGGTTTGTAGCCTTTTTTTTTGGAAGTTAGCAAGTGTACCGATTTAGTAGGAGGGCTTATTATTTAAAGGGGATCGAAATACTGTTTTTCAATTGTATTGTATTGTACAGCTGGTCTCTGGAGTATCTGCCCACTCATTAAGTGTGAATTTACGCTATCAAGTTATATCAGTCAATCATTTGTGAGCCAATTCTCCATCTACTACTTGTTTTATACAATGAACGGGCCCTTTCATTTTTTTTTTAAATTAATCCCAAATACAAGAACATTGATACAAACCTTGGAAGTATGTTCAGGCTACAGATTTTTTTTTTTTTTATGTATTTGTTGAACCCAGCTGGGACTACATGGATAGTTGACATTTGAATATGTGGGGGTCTACATTATTTTAAGTGTGTTAGAAAAGTTCCAGGACTGTTGTCACAAAAGCTATTGCAGAACCATTTCAAACCCAAACTATCAACAAGTTTTCCCCTTCACGGGGGGGCCAGATCAACCAGTACGTCTACAAAGAGCTCTTTCCGCCGTTGGTTCGTTCAGCGTGTGAGAAAACGCGCGAGGTTTGTCATGATAACCTGCGGCTGCGCCACCATGATAACACAAGTGAGCATCCTACAGTTTCTGAACGAAGAATATAGACGCGCTGGTGTAGATAACCCGCGACTGCGCCACCATGACAACGCGCCTGCTCACAAGTGAGCATCCGACAGTTTCTGAACGAAGAATATAGACGCGCTGGTGTAACCTCCCTACTCACCCAATTTTTCTTCCTCATTCCACATTGATTAAAAAGGGACCCGTTTTTGAAGATGTCGACCCCATCACGATGGCCGTGACAACGCGTAGGATCCCGAAAGAATCCTTCCATGAGTGCATAAAGCTTTAGCAGTGACGCTGGAAAATTGTGTTCAACTCCAACTTGTTGTTTGGATTTGAAAGAATTCTTTTGGGGCACCAGTCCTGGAATCTTTCGGATTCCCTTCTTACACGTAGCTGTTGTAGGGACTGAGTTGGGCAACAAAGCAGGACTATTTTCTGTGTTGCAATGTTTGGTGGCAGCACAGTGATTAAGTGGTGAACACATCTGCCTCACTGAGGTTAAGGGGTTTGAATCTTGGCTACGACTTCCTGTGTGGAGCTTGCATGTTCTCCTTGACTTGACTTCTCGACATGTTACAAATGTTGTTTGTCGTCACGTGCCCTGCGCATCTGGCACAGGTTCCATTTTTACTTGCAGCTCTCATGGATGTATATTTATTAATTTTTGGGGGGGAGGTTGTTGTTGTTTATTTAGCTTATGCCAAACTGACATCTAAAGTCTTTTATGATTCTTTTCTCCCCCATAGGTGGTCTGGACCTTTTAGATGCCTTCGGGCCAGGTAAAATATACAGTTGCAATAAATACATGCATGTACGATGATCCTATACATCCCAAAATGGACAATAATCTATGAGCATTCTGTATTGACTTTCAGGTTTTTGTTTCACGTGCATACTACTGCATCCTAAGCAGTTTTTTTTTTTGTTTTGTTTTGGGTGGCAAAATTAAAATTTTCAAAAAGTTAACTGAATAAATAAATAAAATGTGAATTTGTTGTCAAGGTCCCATGCTATCAAAATGCAAATTTGTACACTGGTTTATGCCAAACGGAGGTCAACATGAATTGTGACTCGGCACAAGTCCAACGATTTACGAAGGCACGGCGCAGAACATCTCTGCTTCATGTCTAGGAAAATCTTTTTTTTCTTCATACTGTATACGCATATTTGTAATTGACATGTTTATGCTGGAATACATGTTCATGTTTTTACATCCATAAATGGTCGTCTCGTATTATACTTCGTAGTTGGCGGACATTTTATTGGAAATGGTTACAAAGAAGGACTTTTATAAAGTACAGATTCGCGATGCCCCCGAGGTACGTTGTAACGAGGTTCGACTCTACTCACAGGACGACAGTTTGTTTCTGTTGTTGTCATCTGGGTCGCTTCTGCTTCTCCCTTCTTACGCCTGTGCACACGGAGCTAATTTTAGCCTTCACTCGTGGCTCCGAGAGGGCCGCCGCCGCCGGCCCCCCTAAAACGGGAGATATAATGATATTAATAATACAATATTCCATTTGGTCACCGGTGTCGTGAGTCAAGTCCGAGACTAGCATTTATTTGGTGGCTCACACGCGGCATGTCTGCTACTATTACCCCCTGCTGCTTTGCACTTCAACATGCACCAGCAGTCAGAAAGTAGTCTGGAGAAAAAAATCGCATGAAGGTTCCAAAATTATTTCAGATTACATTTCTCATTTTATTAAAGCATTTAGAAAGTTGAATAATGTCATATTTCAATTCTTAATGATATCCATTTAAATGGCACTCACACACACACACAAAACCCTCCATAAGGCAGAGTAAAAACATCGGTGAAAGTAAAGATTACATGCTGACCATTATTTTTCTTTTTAAGATGAGCCAGAAGAGAAACCGAAGAAGCCTCAGCCTAACCCCGGAAATTCTGGTAGAGTGAGCCCTCTTTTTTTCTTTGAGCAAAATTCACAATGACAAAAGCAGCCTTTGCTTTTGTGTCACTATTGACGAGGCCAAACTTGTATTTTTGTGTGCAGATGGCTTTGGATTCGACCTAGAGGATGCTCTAAATCCAGGTAACGCTTGTTCTGTTTCTTCAACTTTGAGAGATCATCATCATTATTTTATGTTTCCTCCGACAAGTGGGATGTTCAACTTTACGCTAATTCCACACTTGAAAAAGAACGTCTCAAATCAATCATGAATAGCCCCTCATCGACATGAATGACATTTGTGCCCATGATGAGTGCATGTCATGCACTTTCGATATTGGCGTGCTTTCTGTCTGCTTTTCTCCAATTCGTTCCTTTTTTTTGTTTCCTTCTTGAAGACCCAAATGCCAAACCTGACAGACCCGCAGTCAATCCACACAAGCCCAGTGGAGGTGAGTTTGGAAGCAACGTGTTCTTTTGCACGCAAAGTCTATTTTGTCTTCACTAATAAAGTTCTTTGGGTAATTCTCAACAGGTGGCGGCAGCTTTGATGACAACGACTTATTTGATGTCGGTGATAGCGGAAACTACAAGCCTGATGGAGGTAAGACGTCTTCTGTAAACATTTCACATTTTTATTATATTCAACACTGGATGTTTTATTTATTTATTTTTTTTTCAAATGCCTAACATATTCATGCCTTTCGGCTTTAACCTTAGGCCGTTCGGGAGATTCTGGCTATAACTATGACGGTAAGTTGATTCTTGCAAGGTCATGACTTTTTGCAGGTCCAGTCCCAGTGAAAAGTTCTCATGAAAAAGTGTGACAGCTTTTCCATCGTGGCACACATCACGCACCGCATACATGCTCAACACGCTCCTACAAGTACCGTATTTTCCACCCGAAAAAGGCGCACTGGATTATGAGGCGCACCTTCAATGAATGGCCTATTTTGTAATTTTTTTCATACATTGGGAGCACCGCATTATAAGACGCAATCTACAATGCCTCCACTAGATGGAGCTACGCTCAAGGGAACGCCAACAGAACGATCAGATGTCAGTAAACTTATTTAATAAAGCAGCGACACAGTTCACTTAACCAACAGCAAGTTATAACATTGACTCGTTAACGTTGAACTCTCTCGATGCTGCTCTATTTCCGTGTTCAACTGCGTAACCCATCGCCTTAAGTTTGAACTCTGCGTTATCAGCATGTCTCGAGCAAGGAGCCATTTTGGGGTCAAAATATTACCGTAATGACCATACACAAGGCGCATCGGATTTAAGGCGCGCTGTGAGCTTTTAAGAAAATGGAAGGCTTTTAGGTGCGCCTTTTAGTGCAGAAAATACGGCACTCAGTCATCACACACACACTCACACAAAGCCACACCCGCACACTTCTCACGTTGGCAGAAGCATGTGATCCTTTGGTGACTTTTGGTCACCCTGAAGAGTTGTTGAATACTTTCCCTAATTTGTTTGTGCTTGTGATAATAGTAATAATCAAAATGATTGGTGTTTGCATAGCCGAACTGTTGTTTCAAGAAAATCATTTTTTTAATTGTAATGCCCAGAGGGAGGGGCGTCGTGTCCACATGGCCCTGCCGTGGAGATAAGTAACAGGAAAAAAAAAAAAACGAGTAATCTATTGCACATCACATGTTTACTGATGTGATGTAGATTTCCGCCCTCTTATTGTTGGAGGTGTTGTGAAAATTCCGCCTTGAGGAGACGGTCATGCTCACTTTTGATCGACTAATGCATCTTTATTATTGTGCTTGGAGTGTGCAGTGTCGCTGAGCTGTACCGCACTGAAAGGATTCGACTGTTTGGTGACCTCATTTAGCTACTGAGCAGAGAGTGGTACACGACTACTAACAACATTCCGCAATTGTCGGCATAATGTTAAATTAATAGATGAACTGATATCCGCGTCGCAGGCAAAAGAAACAAAAAAAAAAAACAAATCAGTATGCTTCGGATAAATTAATTCGCTCTGTAATTATTGACTAATTATCTTTTGTCATCTTTCCAGGTGGTGCTGATCAGCCTCAAGGTAACTCGATGCTCTGCTTCTTTTTTTTTTTTTTAACTTCCTGTTTTTGGTTTTCTTGATACTTTATGACTTCTGCTGGCGTCATGAAATCACCCATCGAGCCCATGAATCACCGTTCATGTTTCCTGTTTAAAGACAATGTGCTGTGGGTTAACCCGCGCTCGGAGCTGCTGCTTTATTTTCGACTACGTCTCGGCCCCTTGTGGTCACCCTTTGACTGCTAAGTGAGCATCTTGAGTTTTTGTGTGCGCGGTGTGCTACATCTGGTCCGCGCGCACAAACTCAACGTACGTTTCCAAAATCTTTTTCATTAACTGTCGTACCAGCGTAGAGAAGGGATTTTTGCCTGAGGTTTCGTCGCGAAACCGCGCAGAAATTTCATGTCATATCATGTCCAAAACAAACACTAATTATTACGAAGATATTTAACACAACGGCAAAATGTGTCAAGTGGAAAAAAAAAAAAAGAAAAGGAGTGTCGCCGGTGCACCTTCAGCTATTTATTGAGCAGTCCAAACACACAAATACAAGATGGGAGCGCTCGCAAGCAGGTACAACGGGCCATAATTCCCATTCAGACATTCACACGGGGATTACTTGGCCTTGTTCGTTATGTTGCTCAACAGGCCACGCCCCCTTTAAGCTACATAGCTCAAGCGTAGGCTTGCTGTTTTTACCATCATCTTATCACAAGTAATTACACTGAATGAAAACCAGTTGATTTATTTCCATTCCTCTTTTATTGGGATTTTATACAATCCGGTGCTTTTTGTTCTTTTTTTTTTTTTTTTTTTTTTGGTAAATGTGTTGTGGTTGTGGGGTGTTGGAACAGAGGGATGACGAGTTCATCGAGTCACAGGCTCAGTCGTGAATTAAACTCAAGCTGCCACTGTTTTAACTTGGGGAATACATCATTTGTCTTGTCAGTCTACATTCGCCAGCTGCAGGGGGGCAAAGTCAGGATGTGTGTTGGGGTAGTGCGGTGACGTGCTGTTGGCAGCAGCGCCACTTCAAGTTTGGAGAGAGCACAGTGAGGCCTCCTCGAATTAAGACGCGGCGGCGTATTCAATTTTCAGGCTGTGGTTCTTTAAAACTGGTCTTAAAACTCATTTTTATTCTTTGGCTTTTGACTCAGCGTGAGATTTGAGTTTGAGTGCTTTCGACTGTCTTTGTTATTAATTTACTGTTTGTTGTTGTCGGAATTATTTTTGCTCCACGTCCAGCACTTTGTATACAGCGGTGGTTGTTTTAAGTGCTCTAGAAATAGAGTTGAGTTGAGGGTCCCGGTCTAGTCTGTCTGGCTAAAATTATGCCGCAATTTTGTGTTGTTGCAGATCCAGACCTTCTGTGGCGACAAATCCTGAAGATGCTAAATTGTAACATGCCCGAGGAAATCATTATGTGGATGTCCAATCTAAAAAAGATCTTAGTACCCCTCTTAGAGAGACTCTTGGAGCTTGTGCGGGTTATGCCCTGATTTGTACAACTGCTTTCTCAAAAGTCGCTTTTGGGTTTGACCCTTCTAACTTCAACTACGGTACTTGAATCCGGTACGACTATCTCAAGGAAGACAAATGGACTTGGTTGCACGTTGTTTCACTTTTGTGGGGATTGATCCAGGGAATTCTTCTTGCTTCTTTGTATTGACATGTGTTCCTCCTTTCCACAATTCACCACTGAAATATTTGTCACGGCTACCTGAGCAGCTCTTTGAGCATTTCCAGTCATTATAAAAACAACTCGCGCCCCTTACACTCTGGCCATCAAAGCTGACTTTTTTTTGCGCCCTCCCTTTCACCAGCTAACTGTCCTCTCTGTAAAGTACCAGAGCGGGATTGGGGGATTGGGATTAACCTCACCAATTTCTCCATCTGCTGACTCAGTCGAAGCATAACAGATTCAAACCAGGATTGGAAGTTTAACACCTGACTGCCCATTTCCTCGTGGTGCTAAACGCAATTGTCGATGTCACACTGATATGCTGCATGCCGCGCATTGCGTTCACCAGCTCAAATGCTGGAAAGGCAGCGCCGTTGTCATTCTACAACACTTCTCTTCACAAATTTGTTGTTGATGGTCATCTCCTTAAATTAATCCTTTTTTAAAAAAAAGTTTTCGTGGCATAAAGACCATTAGACCATTGTTGCTATGTGCATCGTGATGCAAACAAAAAATATTTCTTCCATCCCATGTGTTGTTTCGCGGAGCTGAATACGAGCAGGATTGCCTCCATTGACTGTAGATGGAAACACTTTACAGTTCATGTGCAGTAGGGGGCGCTGTGCACAAAAGATGTAATCCACTGGATGGGTGCCCAGGCCACAGACAGATGACGAATGACGGACAGGCAAAATTTTGTAAACTGCCCCCCACTGGTATTTCAAATTCAGATTAGAATGAATCCTAATTAACACGCAAAATGTAAACACATTAATCGAAGTAAAAAAGCCTAATCCGGATAGAATTGTATTCAGTTTCACATGGGTGGTGTATCCGTTTTGCCAGTCCTCACGAGTGCCATGTACACAGATCAATTACAGTCGCAGTGAGTCTACGCATGCTCTGTCTTGACATAAATGTTTAGTGACGACATCGTATATGAATTATGAAATTATAAAATAGCAGCATCTTACCAGAGCTCGTCTACAATGTTTTAAAGTACTCAAAATTTGTTTTGTTTTTCTCAAGATGTTGATTTCGCAAAAGTGTTAAAACTATAATAGCTACTGTGCTGAATAAACAAACAAACTCCATCTTGATAAACAGCGCCGCCATGTTTACGTTGATCACCGTGGGGCCACACGAATGGAGCGTGTACACGGCAGATCGCAAAATATCACATCACGTAAACGGGTGACCATAGATCTTCATTCGCAATGATTTCAATCAGAATGACACACAATAAAAAAGTCTCCATGTAAATCTGGTTATTAATTAAGGGCAATGGAATAATACAAACATGACATTTATGGGTGAGGCACAATGTAGTTGCGCAGTCATTTATATTAATATATTATTCATATGATATTTTAGATTCATGCTAAACTGCCGGTGCCTATTGAGACATCTTGTGCTGTTGGTCCGTCTATTTGTGTTAGTTCAATAAATTGTTATATAAATCCTGATGATCTGCGCTTTTATGTTGGTGGGTGTGTCTGTACCTGTATAGCGTCGTCTTGTTTAGGAAGTACGATGAGTCATGCGTATTGTATGCAGCCTATGTTACAGTGCATGAATAGGAAACAGGAATGGCTGCTCTCAAGGGGGGCATGACTGCGGATATCTATTTGGACATTCAAGTTTCGTGACAGGATGTTCAAGCAACCAGAAGTTCCGTTGGGATCAATACAGCACCTACCAACTGACAACACTGAATACAGTTCCATTTTTTTTTTTTTTTATCTGTCAACACCTCATGTCAGGACACACCCAGCACATTCTCATCATAGCCAGCAGTAGCAATCAGTTCTTCGTTTGTCAAGTTGTGGTTGTTTTGGTGCCTTTGTTTATTTGAACTGGCTCCTTTGTCTGAGCTGGGCACACACTCCATGGGGGACGTCCTGACTCATGTAACGTGGACGCCATCCAACGTGAAGGTCGGGTGTGCCCAAACACCTCAGGTTTGTAAACCACCCGTCATTACGAACAAATCCCTGCAGATGGTGGCGTTTCATCGATTTGGATTTGAGATCAGCATAGCTTTTGAGTAGAAAATAAAGGTTAGGGGTGAATCCTGACTTTTTCACATCCATTACGAGGGAGGGAAAACTTCCAAACGTCTGATAATTGTCAAGTCAAAGTACAAGCAAATGACTCGGATGTTGTGCCTATTGTACCGAATTTCCACTTGTCTTGCAGAGGCCGGTTCCGGAGCAATCGCGGGAATCGTCAGCGCTGTCGGAATGGCTCTTTTAGGGGCCGCATCCAGTTACTTTGCTTACCAGAAGAAAAAATTGTGTTTCAAGATACAGGGAGGTACGAAGTCTTTCTTACTTCTTACACACTGTGTTGGTCCGACGTGGTCGTCATACTCCAGGAGAGGACTCAGGAAAATATTTTGTGAGCAGGTGCTGACCCAGAGAGCGGGAAAACCCGGCATCCGGCACAGTCTAACCCTCAAGGTAGGCCGCTTTGTTTTGTTTTCAAGAATTTGCTAACTTCAAAACAACAAGAGGGATCACAAACAGTTATCCTACAGTATCTGTGCTTCCTGTAAAAATTTCAACCAGCACGGACACTAATACAGCCTTCATTGTCTTTTCTTTCTCGCTTCTTGATTTCAGTTTACAGCAACTTGCTCAGGACGTCCTAGACAGCCCTCGGCAAAAGATGCGCCTCCTGGATGGAACTACAGCTAAATCTTGACACCTTTCTTCATCCCAAAGTTCTCCGAAATTTCTGCTGCGTACCGGTTGGCTTTCTTTGTCGGGGCAGAATATATTTTAGCAGCTTCATCGGTTCTTGTGTATTTGTCGTTTGTAACGGTAACACCTCTCTCTGTACAGACACCTCTCGCTGTCATTTCAGAAGAAAGACCATGTTCTACATATTTTTTATGTTATAGTCCGAATGTCATCTATCATAACATCTTTTTTTGTATATGAAGTTTTTTTTTTCCCCCCCACATATCAGTAATAGACAGAAGTATTAAAAAGCAGGGGTGAAGCCAGAACCTTTTCACTCGGCTTTCACAGCCACTCACGAGAGGCGCTTTTCCATTGCCCCCCGCCCTCCGTTGCTTCTCCATTACAACAGGCAGCAATCAACTGGGGCGGGGTCAACAGAACTGAGCGAGTGGGCAGCGTTTGACCACAGAATCAGCTTCTGGAGATATGCAAGGGAGACACAAACCGCCGCTGCCAAGGCATCGAAATGCAGTGTATACAGTACACATACAGTAGATTGTGTTTTACAACACTACTTAACCATATATACAATTTCTTACGTACTGTACCTGTGGATGAAATACTGAAGATTGTGGTAACATTTTTTTTTTTTTTTTTGTGAGCGGCGCGCATGCCACCAGGTCCATTCGAGTATTCGAGAGCAAATCTCGTCTTTCAGTATAGTCCCATTTTTATCGTCACTGTAGACCGCGTCGGCTTTTTTGTGTAGCAACCTGTGTATTCCTTGACTGGCATGATGCAACGTGTCACAGCTCTAAAAAAAAAAAAAAAAGTGCGGATATAATAAATTGAAAGATTTCATCCATTGGTAGATTTAAAATTATGAATGGTTAAGTGTTGGAAAATACAATTTTTTATGTATTTTTATGACTTGCCGGCAACCGGCTATTTGGCTTGCAGAAAACCAGGGAATGGGCGCGTGCAATGGAGTTCCTTGCCGTTATCACTAAAAGAAACACCTTCGTTGTCAGCCAATCAGATGGCAGTGACATCACGGCCCTCCTCGGCCTGTATTTTAAGAGCAGGTTGAAAGAGGTTCTGAGGAATGGCTCCAGTGCAACTGCGCGACCTTGAAAATACAATATAGCTTGCAGGCAAGGTTATCTTTGGCCACCACATAGCTCCGCCCCTGTTGAAAAGCTTGGTGCAGGTTTTTTTTTTTTTTTTTTTTTTTTTTTTTTTAAGGATAATGATGCATATAATGGGTAACTCATGTATGACAGCTTTTGTTGTTGCAGTGGTACCTTCATTTGGGAGTGCACTGACCTAGGAGTTTTCCAAATTGCTGGCCGTTCAGCTGATTTTGAATTTTTTTTTTTTTTTTTTGGAAACCAAAATTTTAGGCAAAAGTCAATTTCTGGTACGCTATCGCTAGAACATCCACTCAAGCATCCTGTGTTTTGTTCACAGTTTTGAGATAGGAGTAAATCGAATTACGGGCTCAGTCATGGAACACATTGAACGTATAAGTCGGGGCACCACTGTATTTTGATGTGCGAATGTAATGTGTGTGTACATGTTTGGAATTAAAAATGGAGGGCGAGATTTGTATTTGTGTCATTGCCTGACACTCTTTTCAATATTCAACCTGCCTGTTGACTAAGATTCGGATACCAGGCAGCACAGCAATTCACACAGCTGTTTATGTTACAATAAAATCATTTACAACCTCCGAATAAGAATTTGCAGCATCAAAGCTAAAGTGACACATTTTGGAGAGAACATTCAATTCACTCAGAAATGCATTTGGGGTTTTGTAATACTTTATTAAACTCAACAATAAATAGTAAAAAATAAAATAAAATAAAAAACAGAACTGAAACCAGCATTGTTTCCCATGTCCAGGACTCACATTTGTATTACACATACAAATAATTGAGGCATCGTGTCTTCAGCAGAAACTTTGTTTGCAATTGCTATGAATCACAGTACAGGGCGCATCTGGGAAGTGTTCTGAGTGCCACACTTTTTCCATATTTCATTATGTTCTATGACATGGATTGTGTTTTTTCCCCATTCTTAAGGGAAAAAAAAATGCCCAAACATTAAAAAAAAAGAAGTCATAATGGGGCATTAGGTGTAATGTGGGAGGAGGCGAGGGGGGCATACCACATTTTAGAATAATGCCATAAGAGCAAAATGCGGAAAAAGTGAAACACAGAATACGTTCCAGATGCACTGCGTGTTTAACAATTTAATGTCATTTTACAGTCCTGAAAAATAAACTAAATTCTCTAATTTGTTGTCGCTAGATCATTTCACTGTTTACAACGCTTTTGTTCCATTGGAGAAACCCCATTGAGTTCCATTTTCAATCCTAGCCCATTTGTCACACTATTCCATGTCCAAGTGCAGTGGTCGGAACTTAGCCCAATGCACTCAGGAAAACATCATTGAACACACGGACGGTAGGACCGACTAATCACACTTGTCCCATTTTGGTAGCTTCAGATTCACGTCACTCTTTGTCAAGTTTTTCTCCGCCTCTGTGACTTATAAAATAGACACGTTTCCTGTTGTCAGCCATTTTTGAACAGTTGCATGAAAGTAGCAAGCTACCTGTGCCGGAAAAATGAGTTTATGTTGTGGAAGACTGTTAACTGCAGCACTAGAAATTGGGTATGGGTTGTTCGTCAAAGAAAAATGTCAAGGATATGATAATATTTAACTTTTGCATATTCCATACATGGCAATGGCGAGTGATGAAAAAAGCGGAAGGGGCGTGGCCTGGACGGGGGCGTGGCCTGGACGGGGCGTGGTTACTTACAAAAGTGGCACTAAACATGCTGAAGATGAAGTGTATTAAATTTACACAGTTTGAAAATTGAACAGAAAAAAATCCCAAGATCGCCACTATTCTTTCAAGTGAAAATTTGTGCAATTTTGCCTATGCATTCCTGGTGAGCACCAATATGTAACTCCAAATTTGCTGCTCAAAATCAAAACTACAACAAAATTTAACACAGAGAAATGATGTAACTTAGATGCAAAACTGACTTTTAGATGGGTTTCATGAAATGGGCCAGGAGTGAAAAAAAAATAATAAAACATCAGAGATGGCCACGTAGTGTAGCTTGCCTGATTGAGAACTGGGAGTTCATTTGCCTGTAATACTTTCGAGATGTTCCCATTAGATGACTTTACATCAGAAAATTCTCTGTGTCCAGATTTTGAACCATGCGAGTATCAAATTAGTTTCTGGATTGTTTGTCAAGTAGTCTAAATCATTCGCAATTTTGGTGAACATGAGAATACAGTTAAGAAAAAGCAATGCCGGGGAAAGGAAACTTTCCGGAGAAAAGAGCACCTTAAAACCACTGAAAGTTCATTTCATTTTATTTTGAGTCACATCACAATGAGAAGTTGAGGACTTAATTTCAAGTGAAATGAACAAATATGTAGCAAAAACATAAGGCACCTTTTTGCTGCCTTTGGTAAACAAAAAAAAACAAAACAAAAAAACAAAACAGGAAGTAGTGTTTTTCATAATACTTGCTACTGGCCAAGAAGTCACAGGGTTCAGAGGTCACAAACTAGTGTTTTTCATAATACTTGCTTCTGGCCAAGAAGTCACAGGGTTCAGAGGTCACAAACTAATACGCAATTGCAATAAAATACAAAACGTTTAAAAAATTTAAAAATAGCAGGTAACAGTCTTGTTTTTTTTTTCTCCCGTGTTGAGGCTCAGAAAGATTAATACTAAAAAAAAAAAGACACCAAAAACGGGCAGGTGGAGGAGAGTAGAAAAAGCATGTTCTGTGTTGTGATGGTTCCAGCGGGACTCATCGGGAGTTAAAGGGAGCTAAAGAGGTCGCACATGCCAACTTTGAGTCATATGAATACAGCGGACCCCCAACTATTTGCGTGGGACAGACACCGAGCCCAAACGCGTGTGGCGAATTCCCGCGAACAACTGATGCACCCCTGGAAACAATTAGAATGCCCTTATACCAATAGTTGAAACCATAAAGAGAGCAAAAACTATGATCCAAAAGACTTAAATAGCATTTCAAACATATTGTCAAATATTGCTGTTCCCTTAAAAAAAAAATTAAAAACTACAGTGCAGTAAACAGCTTCCAGCTAAGGGCGCGCATACTCAAATGTACAGTCCCTGTCGTACGTCGACGTCAACAATTCTGATGATGACCACAAATGAAGAATTAGTGTCGTGGTGCCGTCCGCGAACAAATAATGAACATTTGACTCGACGGCAAACATAAGTTGGCTGAGCAAAGTTCCACCGAGCTGTTGTGACAGATCCCGCTGGTTTTGAAGCAGGTTCATCCTCGTTTGGCGAAATTATCGTATGCCAAAGGCAACTCTGGCAGACGTGCTACGCGGTCAGCGTCGAATCGATCCGCCCACCTTTATCGAACTGTCAACACATTTCGGACATGGCTACAGTTCGACGTGTGACTGGGTGAGCGGGTTTGGTTGAGGGGGACAACTAGGAACCGTTGCTTAGTACAGTACACTAAATAGTGTAGACCAGGGGTGGCCAACCCGCGGCTCGCGAGCCGCATGCGGCTCTTTGGCTGGTTCAATGCGGCTCCCGGTCTTTCACACGACAATCGTCGAAAACGCCTCGGCGGTGGCAATGCCATTCAAACAACGGCGCTAAATACACAGAACATACTACGTCAGCCTATCATCAATCCAGTTACTTGATTGACATAGAGGGCAACCAATCAGATGGCTGAATCACAACTCACGCGCAAACAATGGCGCTAAGCGCTAAGCTAGTCAGCGAATTACCTCTGATGTCAAGGCAGAGGTGCCCAATCGATCGGGAGCCAGTGGACTGGTCCCAAGTTGACCGCAAGGGGTGGGAGGAGGAAATGGGCTGGGGGGGCGGCGGGGGGCGTGATTTGTGTGTTTGTGTCTTTTGCTTTCGTTCATGTTCAGGCCATTCTGGCTGTTGCTTATTGTGGCGTGTGTGTATATGTGCACGAGTGCATGGATGGGCACCCGTGTGCGTGTGTGCGTGTGTGCGTGCGTGTGTGTGTGTGTGTGTGTGTGTGTGTGTGTGTGTGTGTGTGTGTGCTTGCGCGTGAGAACGGGATGCCCATGTGTATGGCTCTTTGCAGTAACACAGTAAAAAAAATTTAAAAAATGGCTCTTTGTCTCTGACTGGTTGGCCACCCCTGGTGTAGACCATATTTTGCCAGTGAGTTAGTACGAGGAGGATGGATTCAAAAGAAGGGAGCCAAGGAATTTTGCGGATGTCGATGCGTGAATCTGTGGTGGTGGTGGTGGAGCGGGGGAGGGGGCGGGGGTCCACTGTATTCCCTTAAGTGTTGTTCTCCGTAAAGTCTTTTTCTCCATAAAGAAAAGATTTTGACTGAGTTGTCAGAAGTTTTTGAAGATCTCCAAGTCTCTCGGCGGAACACAAGGGTCCTTTTTCCATTCGTCGTCGGGGTACACTTCAAAGTTTGTGGTGTCGCCTTCGTGGGAAACTTTGGGAACTATCGGAGGCTGTGGATTTGGCCATTCAAGTTTCGGTTAGACACTGCGGTTGATGGAAATTTAACTTGATTTTGTGTGACAATGACCAAACAATTGATTTTTGTTTAAACTAGCAGTTTTTTTTTTTGGGGGGGGGGGGGACTGTACAATCAGAAAAAAGGTTTTCTTATTCTTCTTAAATGCTGTCACCGACGACTTTGGATTGTGGCATAGCAACGTATCACTATATCAACAGTCAATGTTCCCATTTCTGTTGCATTTTGACATTCGAACGACTCAACGGTGTCCCTTGTACAACGAGCTCAACGTTAAGAAGTGACTTACCTTGAGTTTTCTCAGTGGAACCGTCTCCCAATCGATGGTCTTAAACCATCGGTGCTTTTTCACATCATCTGCTCCATTCTGAAGCGATAGAGAGAAGGCCAGACATTTAACACTTTCCTGCACCCGGTAAACTGATAACATGAGAAGCTGTCCACTATGGTAATCGCGGTCCCTGAAAGGGTTCATTTCAAATGAGCGCCAACTTCATGAACTCATGTGATGCCAGCCATTTTCATTGGCGCAACCCCTTCAGTACCAGCCCCATTTTACGGGATTTTGGCGGATCTTGCAAGTCAATACTCTATGGCTATATGAACATGGAAACAACAACAAAAAAAAAAACACCAGTCTTGAACGTGAATGGGAGGAAGTAAAAAACTCATTAAATATACGTCCTGTTATATACCAGAGTTTAAAAATAATTGCATTAGAATTGTTTTTGCATTTGTACACAACTGAGAAGGATATAAATCAAGTATCTGATCCCATATTTACCTTGAAAACTCACTTCGAAAAATGCCTGTTCGCTAACTTCGGATGTCATTTTGAATACTGGCTATAGAAATAAAATAAAATAATTATAAAGTAGTATATAAAAGAAAATCCTTCTTTGTATTTTTCTTCTACATTTTCATTTTAAGGCTTGACAAAACTTTTATGTTGATAAGAACTGTTTATCGAGTGACCATGGTGTCGCCAAACTTGCCATATAGCAAATATGAGGTGCGCGACACGATATTTGCTTTCAGTGGTTCAATGCAAAGAAAAAGGCATTCCGACTCACCTTCATGTTGCCCAGCCGTCTGGCTCGGTCAATTACCAGAAACTTCTTGATCAGGTCTCTGCGAGGAAAACAAACAGGCTGTCAATCTTTCACTCAAGACTGCAGCTCAGAGGCACCCCCTAGTGGCAAATATCGCACAGGCTCGCTGCAGAATTAAACGTTCAAATGTATCACGTTTCAGCGGCTTAAACTTTTTTTTTTTAAAATCCAGTACAGTTCAGTTGTATTTAATGCTCAAGTACAAGACATTTGCCTTTAATCTGTCGTAGTATTATTTGTTTCCAAACACTTGATGACACCAAATAAAAGAATTGTACATAAATACAATTTTTTTATTTAGCTTTTGTGCAATACAATTTAAGTGGATAAACAAGTACGGTTTTTATTGTCCTATAATTAAGTGCAGTCTTAGTATTCAAAGTGTGTATTATGGTACATTGGCTTACAAGAATATAAAATGCACTTTTTGGGACTAAAAATTGTGTCGTTTGGTGTAGGAGTTTGGCCCTGTCCAAATACTTCTTGCCTAATATCAGGCAAATTTGACCACAAGCACACTCTTGATGACTCATTTAAATTCTCTGGCGCAATGAAACTCATAAAATGCTCACGAAGACCTGCTTTTTTTTTTTTTTTTTTTAAGTGATGCAATCTTACTTGACGTAGAAATCCAGATGCCGTGGGAAATCCAGTTTTCCTGCCAGGATCTTCTGGTAGATTCCAAATGGATTGTCATCAAAAAAAGGTGGATGCCTGGAGAGACGCAATCACAACTTTGTTTATTTGGATCTGAGCGCACCAGATTTGAATGTGACTTTAGTCTGTACCGTTAAATCGTATTTTTATCATTGCCTTGGGGATCGTATATACAAAACCTCTTTTAGTGTGTTGCTTCGCACACTTGGCACACCATCTCACAGCGCAAAAAAATAAATAAACACTATAGTGAAATAATAATGATCTTGTCTATGTTTTTACTGACTCACTGTGAAATTAGGGCTTAATTGAACAATTGTTTCTGTTGTATAATTGGTAACAGCTTAATTGTAGCTTGTGAAATCTAGGGGAAGAGCATTTCATTGTTCTGCCTGAATCTACATCACTGGCAGACACACATTATTTATTGAAAATAAATAAAGATGGCTAATGCTGCACAGCACACCTGATGATGTCACATCGACAGTGTTTGAGAGGCAAGCGGCGCCTGCTAAATTTAAACTTTGTGCAATGCTTGTGCCGATTTTGCAGCTTGCAAACACAATCCTGTACCAGTTGAGACCTGGTATTCCAAGGAAATGGCTTCTGGAAATGGTTTTCTAAATTCAGTTAGGTACATGGTACTTTGTTTCCATCTTTTTCCTCAGCTTCTGACAATTTCCAGCTTCTATTGACACTCAGTGGCTCCGACTGAGAACCAGTAGTGAGTAGAGAGCAATACGCACCCGGCCAACATTTCAAAGATGAGAATGCCAAGAGCCCACCAGTCCACTGCACGGCAATGACCTTTGCTCTGGATAACCTCCGGAGCAAGATACTCCGGGGTGCCACACAGAGTCCAGGTTCTACTCCGGAAGAGAAACACAAAATGATGCCAGGCTCCGAAAACATTCTGCCACGTATTGAACTCATTATTAGTGAAAAGTATGTGTGTGTCGTACCGAAAAGAATTACACCCAACATTTGGATGAATTTATCTTGTTAAATCTTTTCGTGTGGTTATGTGTGAGCATATGTTGCGACTGTCAGCCTTTTAGGTACAGTAGAATATGAACTTGGGTGTGCAAATCTAAACAATTCAACAACACGGATTCAGACTTTACCTGTCAGAAAGCTTTTTTGCAAAGCCAAAGTCAGTCAGGCGGATGTGGCCCTCCCTGTCCAGCAGGATGTTCTCAGGCTTCAGGTCGCGGTAAACTATGTCTTTGGAGTGGAGGTACTCGATCGCACAGACGATCTCAGAGGCGTAGAACAGACCGGTGACGTTACTGAAGCGGCCTCGGCTGCGAAGGTAGCTGAACAGCTCGCCGCCAGGCACGTAGTCCATCAACATATAAAGGAAGCAATCATCATGGTGCGTCCAAAACCTGGCAAAGAAAATAACAAATTGTGACGCGTTGGGTCAACATCGGCGTTTCCAAACCTTGACTGAGCCAAGGCACGTACAATACATTGGAAAAATGTCACGGAAGGCTGCTAAACAAAAACGTAAAAAGTATAAACACTGAGATAATGACGATGTCGCCCGAATTTCCTCACAAATGTAACTGCTCAGCCTGAAAACTGGGTCTGTTCAATTGAAGACAAAGCTATGAATCTGTTGTTTGAATGGCAACAAGAGGATATGTGTAAACTGTACCTTCTGCCACCTAGTGGAAGAGCACGTCATTGATCTGCATGTCACTGGTATAGATTATTAAAAAAATGATCGTAATTAATTGTGCCTTACTCATATTAGTTAATTTTTATTTTTTTAAGTGTCATTTTTGTCATTTTCACAACATTTCATTGCTCATCCTGGGTATTTCTTTCAGAAAAGTTTTAAAATAGCTTTAAACGATGATTGAAATAGCTGTTAATTATCTTGATAATTGATCACATATTGACTAATCTTGACAGCGCTAGTGTCTATATCCCAATATTTATGGACCTGACTGTAGTACGAGTACAACAGCGTTCTCATAAAATCTCAGAGGCGTAGAACAGACCGGTGACGTTACTGAAGCGGCCTCGGCTGCGAAGGTAGCTGAACAGCTCGCCGCCAGGCACGTAGTCCATCAACATATAAAGGAAGCAATCATCATGGTGCGTCCAAAACCTGGCAAAGAAAATAACAAATTGTGACGCGTTGGGTCAACATCGGCGTTTCCAAACCTTGACTGAGCCAAGGCACGTACAATACATTGGAAAAATGTCACGGAAGGCTGCTAAACAAAAACGTAAAAAGTATACACACTGAGATAATGACGATGTCGCCCGAATTTCCTCACAAATGTAACTGCTCAGCCTGAAAACTGGGTCTGTTCAATTGAAGACAAAGCTATGAATCTGTTGTTTGAATGGCAACAAGAGGATATGTGTAAACTGTACCTTCTGCCACCTAGTGGAAGAGCACGTCATTGATCTGCATGTCACTGGTATAGATTATTAAAAAAATGATCGTAATTAATTGTGCCTTACTCATATTAGTTAATTTTTATTTTTTTAAGTGTCATTTTTGTCATTTTCACAACATTTCATTGCTCATCCTGGGTATTTCTTTCAGAAAAGTTTTAAAATAGCTTTAAACGATGATTGAAATAGCTGTTAATTATCTTGATAATTGATCACATATTGACTAATCTTGACAGCGCTAGTGTCTATATCCCAATATTTATGGACCTGACTGTAGTACGAGTACAACAGCGTTCTCATAACAATTGTCTAAATCAAATTGCAAGTTAAGTTAATAAAAGGAAGAGCACAAATATGAGATGCCTATCTTCTGGTGCTTTGGAAAGTTATCCCCCCCCCCCCCCCCCCCC